TGTCAGTGGCGCGACAATGGTGCTGAAATTGCGGATAAAGCGCCGATAAAAATTGGCAAAGCCCAGGAAGCTCTGTAGCTGCTTAAGGCTGGAAGGCTGAGGCCACTGGGTCACGGCTTGGAGCTTTTGCGGGTCCATGGTCAGGCCATTGGAGGAGATGGTGAAGCCCAGGAAGGTAGTGGACCGTTGATGGAAGGCACACTTTTCCAGTTTGCAGAACAGCTGGTACTCGAGCAGCCTGCTTAGCACGGCCCGCACATGGCGAATATGGTCCACTTCGGTGCGGGAGTAGATCAGGATGTCATCCAGATAGGCAAACACCCACCGGCCCAGCATGTCCCGCAAGACATCGTTGATCAGGTGTTGGAAGACAGCAGGGCTGTTGCAGAGGCCGAAGGGCATCACCAGATACTCCCAGTGCCCGTTAGGGGTGATGAAGGCCGTCTTCCATTCGTCCCCTTCTCTAATCCGCACCAAATTGTAAGCGCTGCGTAGGTCTAGTTTGGTGAAGATGCAGGCCTGGGAGAGGGAATCGAGCGCGGTGGATAGCAGAGGAAGAGGATGGCGGTTCTTAACAGTGATTTTATTCAAGCCTCGGTAGTCTATACAGGGGCGAAGCCGCCGTCTTTCTTCTTTACAAAGAAGAACCCCGCAGCTGCAGGGAGGTAGAAGGGCGAATGAAGCCCTGTTGGAGAGCCTCAGCGACGTACTCCTCATGGCTTTGTTCTCTGCGGTTGACAGCGAGAACAGGCGACCACGAGGAGGGACTGCTCCCGGGAGGAGCTCGATGGCCATGTCGTAGGAGCGATGAGGAGGGAGAGCGGCGGCTCGCCTCTTACTGAAGACCTCGGACAGGTCATGGTAAGCCGGAGGGATCCTGTCCAGATCGACGGGCTCCGGGGTGACGCCTCTTCTGACTTTGAGTCCTGTCCAGTCCGGAGGAGAAGGCAGCGGCGTGAACACTGGGGACCCCAGTCCAGGATCTGGCAGGAAGACCAGGAGACGTGGGGATCATGTCGACGGAACCAGGGGTATCCGAGGATGAGAGGAGAGGAAGGGGCCGAGACTACTAGGAACCGGATCTCCTCCTGATGATCCCCGACAGACATGCGGACTGGCTGGGTCTGGAACTGGACCGGGTAGGGTTGGAGTGGTCGCCCGTCTACTGAGGTCACGGGGAGAAATCGGTCGACGGAAGTCAATGGGATGCGGAGCCGAGAGGCTAGTTTTTGGTCGATGAAGTTCTCGGCGGCTCCGGTGTCCAGGAGGGCTTCGGACGAGAGCTGTTGGTGTTTCAGGTGAAACGTGACCGGTAGCAGAAAACGAGAGGGATCAGAGGAGTGGGAAGGGCCAGGTGGGACACCCCGCAGTCTACCTGGCGTCGTCGTTTCCCCGGCCGTAGCGGGCACTGGGGACGCGGTGTCGAGCTGATCCACAGTAGGCGCAGAGGCCCTCACGCCAGCGTCTCTCTTTCTCCTCTTTGGGGAGTCCACCCAGCTGCATGGGCTCCTCGCTGGATGTGCTGCTTGGGCTAGCCGTGGCTCCATCAGAGGGGGAGGAGGTTGCGACGACGTGGTCCGCTGAGGCTGGAAGGGTTTTAAGGCCCGAGGGGCATGGCGAGGCCGCGACATCACGCGTTGGTCGATCTTCAGGGCAAGGTCCACGGCCTCATCCAAGGTCTTTGGGGCCTCGCGGCCGGCCATCTCGTCTCTGATGTAATCAGCCAGCCCCTCTAGAAAGATGGAGCGCAGAGAAGCATCTCCCCATTGAAGCTTAGCAGCCAGGGTGCGGAATCGGGAGGCGAAGTAACAGACTGGTCGGCCGCCCTGGCGCAGATGAAGCAGCTGTGACTCCACTTCCACTTCACTGCTGGGGGGAACGAAGGTCTTTTTTAACTCCTCCACAAACAGAGCATAGTCATTACACGCTGCAGACTTATTGTTGTAGAGAGCCGCGGCCCATTCCTGAGCCTGGCCAGACAAGAGAGAGGTGAGCATCGCCACTTTTGCACGGGCAGTGACGTATTTAGTGGGTTGACATTCAAACATCATGTCTAAGGTGGCGAGCAGTCCATCAGGCCGGCCGTCTACTCCGTTCCACTTGTCGGGTAGTCCGATCCGGGGTTCAGCGCTCACCGGCGCTGGCTGACGTTGCAGCGAGGTGACGGAAGAGGAAAGCTGGAGGACAGTTTCGGTGAGAGACTCCATCTTGGTGCTCATCCGATCCACCACACCGCGGAGATATAACACTTCGGCTTTCAGCCGTTCGAATTCCGCTGGGTCTACATGCGGCTCAGACATCCTGTCAGGGCCGGGCGGATCGCACACAGTGATTCGGCGTGCCCGTGTGGCGTGCTGGCTAGACCCAAGCGCGGCGAAGGCTAGCGGTGGGTTTGGAGCAGACACGCAGTTATTCTAGTAGTGACCTGAGCACGAAGCGTGGCTTCGGAACGGTCGTTACAGACAGAGAGCGAGCGGAGCCGGGAAGAGGAAAAGGATTGAAAGGGGTTGTAACTCACAGTTGCTGGATCAGGCGGAGACTGACGTCGCAGAGTTTCGGAGCTCGTGACACGAGGATACTGATGTCTGAGCGGCGAACAGGTGGGTGGCGTCTCTCTTTTAACCCCGGCCCCGTGATCAGCTGATCACAGCCGATCACCGGCTGACACTCTGTCTCTCTTCCACAGCATGTCTTTATCCTGTCTTCCTTCTCTCACCCCAACCAATCACAGCAGATGGCCCCGCCCCTCACTGAGCCTCTGTATGTATTATTGTAGGGTCTACCTTACAATATAAAACACCTTGAGACTGTTGTTGTGATTTGGTGCTGTATAAATCAAAGTTAATTAAAGGGAAGTTTAATTAACAGTTTTAATTTAATTAACAGTCTTATTGTGATGGTCCTGTGTTGAAATGTTTCCATCTCATCTTTTCCTCCGTGGGTCATGGGAGCAGGTCACCGACTAATCAGAACGGTCGTGATTGGGTTCCTGGCTGCTCCAGTCTGCATGCCAAAATAGGACCCCAAGTCGCATAGCTTGTGGATAGAAAACTGTCTGTCCATGGGTGGATGAGGCATGTTGTATAAAGTTTTGAGTGCTCAAGTAGCGTAGAAAAGGATTATATAAGAGCCAATCCATGTACACTTACAACAACGGATATATGTTAAAACAGGTTTTGTTCTGGCGTGTATCAGGATCAGCACTTTATTAATAAAGCTATTTGCTACAGAATACTGAGGTTTTGCTGGCTTCCTGCTACATAGATGTTTAAAAGTCTCACCTTTGGACAGTGTGTAGATGACAGCAGCGTTGAAGGTGTCCCCAGCTCCAAGCGTATCAACGAGACTTTCAGGAGGAAATGCATCAGAATGAATGATCACACCATCAGGACCCAAAGCATCAGCTCCTTTTTCTGCCCAGGCACAGATCAGGATGGCCCTGAGGAAGGATGGCGTCATATTTTTATTTCTATGGTTGTTACTAATGTTACACTGCTGACCTGTGACCACTCACCCCTGTTTGACTCGACTGTAAAGTCCTTTCAGGGCAGCTTCAGCTGACTCAAACCCAAAATCACGAGCAACGTCCTTACTGACAAACACCTAAAGACATGAAACCGCGATGAATTTGCAACACGTGACAGAAAACATGCAATAACATTTTGTCTGATAGAGTGGGCAGTTTATGTTCTCCTGGTTCTGGCACAGAAGCTCTCACCACATCGCCATGAGGAAACAGCTGGTACAGCGGCTCTCTGGTCTTCTCTATCTCCACGGAAATGGTGATCTTCTGTTGCTGTGGCAACATGCTGTTATATCGCTCTACCTGCTGGATCATCTTCACCTGCTCCTCTGCGTTTCGGCCCTACAGGAGTTAAAGTGTGACAGCAAACAAACAAGATTTATGAGACAAAACAGTTTCCAGTGGGTTAGAGTGCACTTTGTTTAATGAATTAATCATCATTGATCAATTTCAAATTAATGTTGTTGTTTTTTAAGTCTTCTGGTGAAAATATTGTTTCTAAATGAGCACAAACCTCTGAGGAGTGCAGGCTGGAAAGGTGTTAAGATGGTGACAGGTGTTTTCTGATTAGTTACTCATCATTAACAGGTTGTGTTTATGATCTTAATTTAAAATTCTGATTACCAATGTCAGTTTAATACTAGGTTGGGTTGGCTCGTTTACTGGACTTTACTCACCTCCCAGTGGATCCACTTGAACTGATGAAGGTGAACTTTTGAAAAATCCTCTGCTGTGACATCTGGAAGGTTCCTGACAGACAGGAATTGAGGTCAGAGCTTATGGTCCTTTAAAACAACCACTTCCATCTCTTCAAAACTCAGGTCAAACCATTTTTTCTGGATTCTCCCTGCATTTAGCAGATTCATGTTAACCTTCCTATCACATCATTATGACACCAAACCAGCAGGACTGGTAAACTGCTCTGCTGTATAAAATTCATGGAACAACCACAGAGCAGGTGCAGCCTATCAGACAGCAAGCTACTATACAGGGAGTGCAGAATTATTAGGCAAATGAGTATTTTGTCCACATCATCCTCTTCATGCATGTTGTCTTACTCCAAGCTGTATAGGCTCGAAAGCCTACTACCAATTAAGCATATTAGGTGATGTGCATCTCTGTAATGAGAAGGGGTGTGGTCTAATGACATCAACACCCTATATCAGGTGTGCATAATTATTAGGCAACGTCCTTTCCTTTGGCAAAATGGGTCAAAAGAAGGACTTGACAGGCTCAGAAAAGTCAAAAATAGTGAGATATCTTGCAGAGGGATGCAGCAGTCTCAAAATTGCAAAGCTGATCATCGAACAATCAAGCGTTTCATTCAAAATAGTCAACAGGGTCGCAAGAAGTGTGTGGAAAAACCAAGGCACCAAATAACTGCCCATGAACTGAGAAAAGTCAAGCGTGCAGCTGCCAAGATGCCACTTGCCACCAGTTTGGCCATATTTCAGAGCTGCAACATCACTGGAGTGCCCAAAAGCACAAGGTGTGCAATACTCAGAGACATGGCCAAGGTAAGAAAGGCTGAAAGACGACCACCACTGAACAAGACACACAAGCTGAAACGTCAAGACTGGGCCAAGAAATATCTCAAGACTGATTTTTCTAAGGTTTTATGGACTGATGAAATGAGAGTGAGTCTTGATGGGCCAGATGGATGGGCCCGTGGCTGGATTGGTAAAGGGCAGAGAGCTCCAGTCCGACTCAGACGCCAGCAAGGTGGAGGTGGAGTACTGGTTTGGGCTGGTATCATCAAAGATGAGCTTGTGGGGCCTTTTCGGGTTGAGGATGGAGTCAAGCTCAACTCCCAGTCCTACTGCCAGTTTCTGGAAGACACCTTCTTCAAGCAGTGGTACAGGAAGAAGTCTGCATCCTTCAAGAAAAACATGATTTTCATGCAGGACAATGCTCCATCACACGCGTCCAAGTACTCCACAGCGTGGCTGGCAAGAAAGGGTATAAAAGAAGACAAACTGATGACATGGCCTCCTTGTTCACCTGATCTGAACCCCATTGAGAACACGATTTACAACCTGAATAGGTAATAAGGCGATAGATCTTTCAGCCCAATTCTACTTTCTGCCTAATCCATCATATAAAATGTAATCAAACGGAAAAGGCTCTTTTTAAAATTTGTTTTATTAGTTTTAATCTTTTAACTTTATGCATCAAGCAAAGATTTAATTATCTGCAACATTCTCTGACTGGAAGAAATTTGTTTAACATTTAAACCTATTTTCTGCACATTCCAGCACATAAAATAATTTTTTTTTTTTGTGTTTACACTCAGTCTTTCAAATAGGTGCAAGTAAAAAGTGGGGTAGGCGGATGTTTGCCCTGGTGCAGGTGTGTCTCAGCGGTCAGTGGAAGAATCCGCGAGTTTGTCTGTGAATTTCCTTCCCATTCACTGGTAGCGTACTCAGTGCTTGCTCGGATGTTTAGGGTTTTTTTTCGCTGTAAAAAGAAGTTTCTTCCCACGCAGTGAACAGCAGAAGCTAATGTTTTTGTCACTTTTTACAGAATTAAACTCAAAGTAAGGTCAGTACTTCCACGCTTTAAATGCTGCGCGGTCATACTCGCTCCCAGACTCGATATATTATCCATTCTTGATCTGCACACAGCTGTTGCCACGAACGTCGCACTCGCTTACATCATTGTCATGAGACACCCTCGCAAAAAAATCACGGTTTTAGTAACACAGTAACGTGGGGTGCTTACGGGAAAGTAACGGTAATCTAATTACCTTTTTGCAATAGTAATCCCTTACTTTACTCGTTACTTGAAAAAAGTAATCGAATTACAGTAACGCGCTACTGCCCATCTCTGGTGCCCACTGTAGAAAAGCATACTTTGGTGTTTATTGCAACAAAACGCCATATTAGGCTTCAAGTGTGATCAACAACACCTGCACAGTTTTGCTTATCTTTGCTTATTCTATTTATAGTGGAAGAAAACCCATACAGATTGACTTTTGATTAATAAACTTGTTTATACTTTGGGAGAAATTAAATAATTTATGATGAATTATCCCCAGAAACCACTGCAGAGCTAACAGAAAAGTTTGTGACAAGGCTCAGCGAGAAAAAGGAAGCTGCTTTATAAACAGTTTACCTGCCTGAAGGTTTTACTGACTGCTTCACGCTTTTCTTTTGCTCACCTAACATTCGATGTGGATATCTCAACCAGGACGTTTTTTAACAGAAACTGGAAATGAATGAGCTACAGTGGTTGTTGAGGTCAAAACGAAAAGAATACCAACATCATCAGTTTCCTCTACGCGACCTTCACACAAACTGCTCTAGGAAACTCCTTTAAAGAGTTTGGTCCACTTTTTCCAACTTCGCCTCTGACCTGATAAAAAGTCATCTGTTATTCACCTCATCTGATTGGTGGAGCCATTGCTCTGCAGTGGCTCATGTGCCCAGTTGTCATTAGACCAGATTTAGGCTGACATTTAGGTTTTCATGCTTCCTGATGACAGATTCTCTAAACTCATCAGTGTATTTGTTTCATCCACCTTCAGCAGCCAATGGATGGAGCTTAGAGTCTGAGAGGGCGTGGTGCAATCCAATCAGTAAAGCTTCACCTGAACCACTGATGGGTTTGTTCAGGTGACCAGAAAGAGAATCAAAAGAAACGGGAAAGATTCTGCAGAATTTTATTTAAAAATGTATTTTTGACAAAGGGAAGACTGATTATTTCACTGCGGTGCTGATTAGCCGGGCATAATGTCAGAAATAACACACTGATCAAACAGGCTGGAAGAAAACCTCGATCATTGTAATAATCATTATTAATTAATATCTAACGTGAGCTGTGAAAATCGCAGCTCTTCGACGACCTGATGCCTTACGTATCGGAGAGAACGACGGTTCGAGTTCCAGTGGATGGACAAACCACACAACAAGCACATGGAGTTTGACCTTCGACCTGCAAAACCACCGCTGACACATCGATGTCCCGCTGCGAGAAGTCAGCCATGATGAAACTGACAGAAAGACAGACAGGAAAGATCATGTCCCCTCAAAAATAAAACTCTGGCAGAAACCCGAACTCTGACTGGCAGAAGGGGAGGGGCGGAGCTCCTCTATGATGACCCTGAAACAGATGCCGTTAGTGACACAAACACACCTGTTCATGTGCAGGATAGTGCGACTTCCTGTGCTGGTGTTGCTGATGACCATGGAGGCTGGAAGGAAGCACTGAGGGTGCTCAGACAGCAGAGACACATCGATGCAGTACTTCTGAAAATCTTCCAAAATAAAACTACAGACAGGTAACTGTTTACACTGACTTGGCTTCCTGAAACACAGATCCTCCACATGGCAGACAGAAAAATTAAAGTCAGAGGTGGTAACAAGTATGTTAGTAATGCACTTTCTGACTGGATGTTAAATAAAGATGATAAATCTCCTGTTTTTAGTGCTCAGGTGAAACTGCTGGTGAACAAAGAGCTGCCTTTTTTTTACCCTTTGAAGAGCACTTTGTAAATGTGAGCACCAGAGGAGTTTCCCCCTTTGTACTTCACCACAGCTTCAAACATCAAGAACCATCTCCACACCTTTAACCTGCTCTGATGTGGTATTGCTGTCACCCTGCCAGGCTGGCAGCATGGACGCCTAGGTCTGTTAACGTGATAATTTCAGAATCAGGCATCGTAAGATTTTAAAATTCATATCTCGCATGCATTTGCTAAAATTCTCTAACAAGTTTGAATTTCAGGTTAAGGTAAGAGGTCCAGTTTCCTCATGAATGTAAAAAGAAGGGAAGTCACTTTCAAACTGATGCCACTGGTGCAGTTATTAAACATTGTGAACACTTTCCAGTCTCACCGACTTGATATCGAGGTTAAAGTATGAGGTGAAGTTTAATGAATTTTGTCAATGCAATAAGAAGGAATCAACTTCGAATTTTTTAATTTTCATCACACAAACACCAAATTAAAGACTGGTGGCTGCCAGTATCATTTTTCTTTATACTGCTAAAAATTAAAGCAATACTTTTTAATCAGAATACAGTCAGTTAAACAACTGAGCAGATAAATATCCCAGATAAGTAGCAGAAAGTCTTTTATTTCAGTAGGTTGATAATGTTCATTTCTGTGTATGTGTGTGTGTAGAATCTCCAAAATACCACAGTTTCAGTAAAAAACTGTGGTATTAACAGTCTGGATTCTGCCCTCAAACATTGATGACTGTGTATTTCTTGTATTTCTGAACAAATGGATTTATTGATGAGCATTTGAAAAGGACTCACTTGGCCACAGGACCAGCTGACAAGGAGCCCATGAAGGCACAGGGCGCTCCGAGCAGCGACAGCACTGTGCATGAGTTTGAAGCATTTCCTCCCCGCTGCCAACGCTGCGACAGACATCTGTAGGTACAAAGTAATGACATCATCCATCAGAGGGGCAATCATTAATTTTCAATACTGATAGAATAGAATAAGAATAAGAATAGAATTCAACTTTGTTGTCATTGCACATGCACAGGTACAGGGCAACGAAATGCAGTTTGCATCCATCCAGAAGTGCTTTAGCCATGATATAGATATATTGCAATATATATTAGCAATAATATAGATATGTAAGTATATTACAGAAATGGGTCTATTATGGTATGTTATAATGTACATGGTATGAAGTATGTTATGAATATTCTATAACTATAAGTATGTACAGGCTGTAGTGAGTACAAACTATGTACAGGCTATGAACAGGATATAAATATGAAAAACTATACAGAATATGAAATAAATGACTTTACAGAAATCTGAGATATACAGCTATACAGAAATGTGAACTATGCAAGTTATAAACAGTTGTAGGATTAAAAATTATCGTATGTACAGAATGATTATTTACACAGAGCTACACAGTAGTGCAGTTAAGGTAAGTGAGGGTGTGGATAATTTCTACAGAGGCTATATAAAGTGCTAGTGGTTGTGAGTGGTGGTTCAGTCCATGTTATTATTGTGTGTTTGAGGGTACAGTTGTCCATTGTGTGTGTATGTAGGTGGTTGTGTGTGTGTGTATGGTCAGTCCATGAGTTTAACGTGGGTCAGATGTCAGGAGGCAGAGTTCAGGAGTCTGACAGCTGTGGGGAAGAAGCTGTTCCGGTACCTGATGGTCTTAGTCTGATGGCAGGAGTGATGAAAGGCTTCATGGAGTCAAACATTACACACAGAAACAAAAAGAAGCTGCTAACGTTAAAGTCAAAGGAGTGTGTTTCTCATCGCCAATGAGAAACAAGCACCAGTGCATCACAAACAAAGTCATTGTGGCAGAGCAGTTGGTTCACAATGTCAGGGGAGCCTCACGCACACAGCTGTTCCCCAAGGCCTAATCATGTCGTCCCTATGAGTAGGATCTCAGAGAAGTGAGGTGTGTGCTATACAGGAGAAGTGAGGAGCACTGAGCTGGAGAGAGTGGGGCTGAAAAGCCTGCCACTCAGTATGATGTATGCTGTTTTACACATATAAAAACGTTCATGTGCTGGAGAAACTGTCAGCCTGCAATCCTTGCTACAGTTATCGACCACACTTAAAAGCAAAGGGTTGGGGGACAGCTGGTCATAGTCAGGTTAGTGCCAGGGCCTCAGCCAGGAAAACTTAGATAATAGAAGATCAGTCCGCTTGGCCTCATTCACACGAGTGAAGAGAACAGGAGAACCAGTGATGCTAATGTCCTCATGTTAGGAGAGAGGTAAAAGATGAATTCTCTTCTTCAGATTAGTGACACCCCTGTTTGTGGGGTTAGGGCTTGTTGCAGCACCAAGGAGATGCATTTACATCATATTCTGGCTTTTTCATTTTTAAAATAAAAAAATAAATGGAGTATCAAATGTCGATAGTGTTGCACTGAAATCTGTTACGTAATGAAAGTGTGACCTTTGCCCACACGTTGACCTAAAAAAACTGCCAACCCCGACACCTAAACATCACCAAAACCTCTTACCCGTAAACCCCTAATCCTGACTGTATACAATGTCACAGTAAATCAATTTTTAGAGATCCACTTCTCTAAACAGCTGGTTCAACATAAGCTGTACCAACCTGGAGAGTTAGCTTGCATATTAACATATTAACCTGCTCTCAGCTTTAGCCTGCATACTAACCTGCTGTCAGAATTGGCCTGCAGGCTAACCTGCTGTCAGAATTGGCCTGCAGGCTAACCTGCTATCAGCTTTAGCCTGCAGGCTAACCTGCTGTCAGAGTTAGCGTGCATACTAACCTGCTGTCAGCTTTAGCCTGCAGGCTAACCTGCTGTCAGCTTTAGCCTGCAGGCTAACCTGCTGTCAGCTTTAGCCTGCAGGCTAACCTGCTGTCAGCTTTAGCCTGCAGCTTAACCTGCTGTGAGAGTTAGCCTGGATGCTAACCTGCTGTCAGTGTCTTCTTCAGGGTATTTGTTCACCACGTTGATGATGTCGAGACACACCAGCCCCACACACAGAATCTTCTTCTGCTGTTCCATGCTGGTCCACACAATGACAGACACACACACTCTCTGTGATCCGAGGGTGTTAGAAACGCACACTCAGGTGGACTTTGAAACACTTCCTCCCATGATTCCCTCAGAGTAGTGATGCGCGAATTATGAACGAATCGTTCAATACTCGAGAATCACTTTACTGACTCATGAATCATGATTCACAAGCCCAACTGACTCACTGACTCATCCCTGTTGCTGTTAGCAGCAATGTATCTAGCTTATAATTAAAATTGTGGAGAAAAACAACATCCAGTATCTTAACAAAAAATTTTCTGCTCTGAACTGGAAGAAACAACCCTGAGTAGAAGCTCACATCAAGAAAATAGCTCCTCGGTTCACAGTAGCATCGCTCTGCTAACATGCTAACAGCACATTTGAGCTACTCACCCCCTCCCTTCCTGTGCCGAATCGTAAGCGTAAGCGAATCACTCAGGACTCACTAACCCCCTCCCTCCTGGCTCACAGCTTCTTCTTCTTCTTGGTTGGCAACCAATGTTAAGGCGCATTAACGCCCCCTGGCTCACATTTCAGTGGACATTTAGATGAGAAAATATATATTTAACACATTTAAGGAAAATACTAATAAAATAAAAATAAACAAAATAAATGTTTATTTAGCAATTTTGATTGGAAATTGCTTAATTTTAGAAATGTTTTTGCTGTTTTTTGCTCTATAAAATAGTTGTTTTTTTTTAGAATCATTCATCTTAGCAGTGGGATTTACATGAAAGGAGAAACAAATTAAGTTTGAGTGAAAATGTACATTTTTTGCACTCTCTGGTCAACTGACTCAGTGAATCAAATGACTCAAAAAACACGATTCACTTTGGTGAGTGACTCATTAAAACTCGATTCAGTAAAAAGAATCAAATTTACCATCACTACCTCAGAGTGAAGTCACAGCAACAAACTGCGGCTGTATCCCAATTCAGGGTCTGCAGCCTTAAAGTACGCAGCCTTAACAGTCCTCAAGGGGCGTACTCAAAGACCGCTAAGGCCGGAAGTGCGAGGCTTGTGAAATGGGACGGTCTAGCCTTTGTCGCGCTGCCCAGGTTGCCTAGCAACCATGATACAAACCACTGGAAACGTTTCATACAGCTTTGTTTGACAGAAATGAAGGAGAACACATTTTGTTCATTTGTTTCTACATGAACTCTGTGTGATTTATTGAGTATCTGAGGCTGAGACCACAGGACTGTAAAACATGATTGTTGGGCTTCATTTCTGTACTGAACAGTCATTTTAATATTAGTTAGTAAATAACAATTAGCTGATGTTGTTCATGATACTAAAGATTCAAGTTGCAGTTATTTATATGTCCTATCACCTTAAATCGTCACTCAAAGACGAGTATCTTTGACAGTGTATATATAGATGTGTTATACATAAGAGCGAAATATTGTTCATTTAATATGTTGGCATTACTAAATTTGGCTCAATGCTTACATATATGTATGAAAACAAAATGTACGAGCTGTGAAAACTGTGTCTGATAGAATGAAGAGTAGACTGATATATGAAATATTCCTTTATTGGGTGAGAAAATCAGACCATGTCATAACTGCTTTAAGTCATACAGAATAGATATCAGAGCCTTAAACAGGCTGACTTCTGCTAAATGGGTCAAACTGGGCAGAAAGTCTACAAACACATAACATCCTTATAGAATATGTTGTAACACTATAGATCAACTTACCTCAGAATATATAAAGCATATAAACAGTTACAGCAATATGATGCAACACACACAGCAGTGCTACTAATGCAAAATACTCAAAGCTTCATAGAACTGAAACCAACATTTATTTTTAGCTCCATTCTGCTGCTGATACATACTTTAGGTTTATGAACATTAAACTTGTTGCTGCCTTTCATAGGGTAGGATTAGGGTTAGGGGTTAGGTATTTAGAGACTAAGACTTAGTTGTTTTGGTTTAAACTTCAGTGCACGGTCCTAGGAATCGCTGAATCATCCTATTTCCCCTTTCTCGGCTCTTCTCCTCTTCCACAGCATACTCCTCCTCTTCTTGGGTGTATCTTGTACATCCTTTCATGTGCTGTTAATCATAAAATCGTCCCCCAATGTCTTTATTTCCCACAGGCCATAAGGTGGTATAGTTGAAAGTATCAGCAATGTCACTTATATAAAATAAAAATCAGTCCCAAAGCCATACTTCTCCCATAGCTCTCTGGAGGGGATTCAACCTCAACATGAAGAAGAAGGCTTTCAGGAGCAAAGTGAAGGAGGAGATGAAAGCAGCACAGCGGGAGGTGAAACGCTGCCTGAGGGAAGCAAAGGACACCTACAGGAGGAAGGTGGAGCAGAAGTTGGAGAGGAACAATATGAGGGAGGTCTGGAATGGCGTGAAAACCATCACAGGCCACAACATCAAGAAAAGCACAGTGGGGGGGACTGTGGAGAAGGCAAACGAACTCAACAACTTCTTCAACAGGTTTGACCAGCCCACAACCCCCCCACCCTCACCCTCACCTTCACTACAGAGTCCTCTCCCCACTCTCCTGCCTCCCTCGCTTCCCCCCCTTCCTGACACCATGACACCCCCCTCCTCGAATCCCTCTCTCAGCAGCAAGACATCTCCCCCCTCCCCTCCTCCCAAACATCTCCCAGTGTCACAGTGGATCAGGTCAGGAGGCAACTGAGGAAGCTTCGCCCCAGAAAGGCAGCAGGCCCAGACAAGGTGTGTCCTAGGATGCTAAAGGCGTGTGCTGCTGAACTTGGGGAGCCGCTACAACGAGTCTTCAACCTCAGTCTGCGACTGGGGAGAGTGCCCGCCCTAGGGTTAGGGGTTAGGGATGTGGAATTGAGTCCGGTCCCGAAAGGGTCCAGACGGTGCTCGGTCCATCCCTCCACCCCTGCCACTTGTCCCCCGCTGGACACGTCTACGGGAAGGCAGCCGCCCTCTCCCGTGACGCACCACCGTCCAGCCTTCTGAGTCCATCCGGGACCCCATGGATTTTTTTGTATCTCTTGATGTCGCCTTTGTTATCTTTATTTAATATTTTTATTTAATAATTGTTTTATAATTGTTTTAATGTGCTATTTATTCCAGTTAGATATGTAAATTATGTGTATATGAATTTACAATCAAAAACAAGGCGAGAAAAAAAGAAAAAGTAAAAAAAGTAAATGAAATTGTGTTTTTAAACAAAAATAGATGAAATTAATAAAATTGTTTAATTTTTAATAAGTGAAAACCAATGAATTAATGTGCCCAATGCCGCGACGTTTCGACCCAAGATAGGTCTTCCTCAGGCTGGGGCACAATGAACGTAAAGCTGGGAATGCACAGAGAGAGAGAGATGTTGCCTCTTCAACGGTCAGCTCCCAAATGAGCTCCTCTCTGCTGTGCAGCCTTTTATAGGCTTGGTTTCCAACGTGAGTTTTTTTCGAATTTTAGGTTAGGCAATGTGTTTTGAAATGTCTGCGATGGTTTTAGACTAAAATGAATGTGTGTTTTTTAATCTTTGTAATAAAATTGCATGAAACGTATTTTTATTTTGTATATTATGTGAATTTTTCAAAGAACCGTATTTTTAAGTGATGTATATGAGATTTTAAATTTGCATTGTTATGTTTTAAATCCAATCGTGTTTTTAAGAATTTTTAAGTGCCGTATATTAGATTTTAAATTTGCATTTTTATGTGTTAAATCCAATCGTGTTTTTATGAATTTTGGTGAGTTTATAGAGAAATGAGTTTATGATTTGAAAATTGTATTTGTGTTTTTAGCCAAATTGTGTTTTTATGCTTCTTGGAGTTGTGTATTTAATCAACATGTATTTTTTGGGGTTTTAATAAATTTTGATTTAATAACATGGGTTAGGGTTAGGGTAAATAATTGGGTTGGGGCCACAATCATAGTGGTTAGGGTTAGGGCAAAATATGGGGGTTGGGTTAAAATTAAATCGTAGTGGTTAGGGTTAGGGCAAAATATGGGGGTTAGGATGAGGAAAATAATCCCTTCTCCGAAAGGAAAAGGAGCGTGCACGGTCCATCCCTCCCTGCGGCCCTCCGTACCCGTCCCAGAAGACTTGGCGGTCACGTTGGCGGCGGCGGCCATAGCGTACCACCGTCCAGCCATCGTCCATGGCGTCCAGAATTTTTTTGTCTTTTTTCTTTTTTCAAAAAAAATTAAATGTGCCTCAAAAAATATTTATTTAACCTTAATGTGAACAAAAAACGCTTTCCAAAATGTGGAAAGGAAAAAGTCACGGAAAAACAGTAAACAACAAAAGAAGGTGTGCCAAAAAAAACTGTTTATTCAAAAATAAACACAAAAAACACAACGTTTCGACCGTACACGGTCTTCTTCAGGTGTGGCACACAGAAAACTGTAAGCTAGGTTAGCTGGCAACAGTTGGACTGGCAGAGATGTGCTCTCATCGAGTGCCGAGTGGAAAAGGGTTAGGGGGTTAGGGGGTTAGGATTTGTGAAAGAAAACGCAATGATCCCTCCCCACTTCGTCCGACGACTGGGTGGTTGGATGGAGGGCCACTGGGAATGCACGGGCCACCGCACGTCATGCTCAGTCCCCATCTCCCTTCCCCGTCTCAGTCCTCCTCCTTCTGTCCTTGAGAAGTGACCAGCTTGCCCCCAGGAGGCCCTGAGACAGCACTTTTGGCCACTCCCCATTTATATGGTGCCCTTCATTTACACACTAAACCTATTGTTTAAATACTTTTCATAGTCAGGATCTATGTTCTTTTCAATCCTTTATCATTGTTACGTTTTCTTTATATTTATTTTATTGTATTATCTTTTTATTGTCTCCTTAATTTGACATTATCGTGTATTTTAATTTTTTAAGGTAATATTTAAGGACACATCATCAGTAGTGGACCTTGGAATCATTGGGTGTTTCGGCCATTTATCACTAGACACCCTCTTCCAAGGAAGGCCCCGCCCAGGTTGATCAAGCCTTGGGGTGTGTCATCAACTAAATAAAATAACAGTAATTAATTAATGCCTTTCTGGGCTTTAATTTTTAAAGTTTCCAAGGGGTCAATGTTGTACCGTTAATTGTTGTTCACATTTAATGACATACTGTCTTGTTGAGTCGCATTTCAAAGAGTTAATGAG